AATTCTCAAGAGAGAGAGGAAGGAAAAAAAAATTTTCTCCAAAAATTCCGCATTGTGCATACGTTGGTGTTTGTAGAAATTCGAGTGTTTACTGTAACCCATTTTGTCTCATGTGTGCCCACACACACGTCTTCGTGGATTCTAGGAATTGACGTGGAAGGCATTGGTTTTCTAAACACAAAGATTGGAGCAAGGACTGTTCGTGGTCAAATAACTCAAGTTATCATCCGAGTCGGCTTCCAGGTATTTTTCCTGATTGAGTTCTTGATATATATAAGTTAATGAGATTAATTTATTCGTGCATAAATTAATATAATCTATAGAGTATCTCAAAAGTTTTATGAAAATTTTTGTTATACACGATCCGCCTCTTCCCCGCACCACCACGCTTCCGCAGCCGGATTCGATTCGGCAACCAACAAAAATCACATCTTAACTTGAATTAAAAACTCAAATCAGCGAACTAAACCGCCGTTAATCCTTCTTTGTTTTGCCCTTTTCTCGGTTAATCATTTGTTCCTTTGCTGTTTGACAATAGCATGCGTTTGACGTCTTCTCCAACAGTAAAATATTGAAGAAAACAAGTTTGACTAGCTAGCTACATATTCACACAAGGTCAAAAATGGTAGAAAGAAAACGACACTCTGAATATTCTTTACACAAATATTCTAATAAGATATATTAACACAAAGACCTAATGGATCTTGTTCTGGACGACACACAGACGGTGACGATCTAGCCAAAAAGTGCCAAGATCAGATCTGCTATTTCACCTCAGATACGACAACGACCGGTCCTTACGATCTCCGACCCCCTTCCTTGCGATCTCCCATGAGTTTCGTCATCGCCTGTCGCTCGCCATCGCAGAGATTGAGATCTACTCCATCGCGATTGAGGCTAGAGAGAGAGTCGCCGACCAGCTCGGCTTAATGCCGGAATCACAAAGAGTCGCCGTTGTCGAAGAGCTTCAACTTCTGGCGGGGAAGAGAATACGTGATCTGAGAGAGATAATGTTACTGAAATAGAGAGGGAGGACACTGAGAAGAAAAAAAAAAGGGTAAAAATGGAATAAAATATTTTATTTTAAACAGAAAATGATGAATTGCAATTTACTACTATGTTTTAAAAAATGTGCGATATGTTTCCTTGCCATATGTGAAAAATTGTCATTTGGTGCATTTTGTCAATTATTATTGGGATTTATTTGGATTTATCTTTTAATTTAGACTCATTGTTTTAAATTTTTTTTTTGTGTTTATCATTATTATTTATCTTTAAACTAGTTCTAGTTCGGTTATGATTATTAATTTTAGTTTTATTAAGATTCAAACACAAACTTTTAAACTAGTTCGAGTTCTATTATAATTATTAGTTTTAATTTTATTAGGATTCAAACAATAAAAGAGTTATAAATTATGATCTCCATGACTAAATTTTTTATTAATTGTAGTTTTATTAAGATTCAAACACAAATTTTTTATTAATTTTTTATTAGATAATCAACACAGTGACTATTGGGCCTGGTGGTCAGTACCAGCCCAAGTTTCTTAGCTTTATAATGGACAATACTTTGGGCATTATAAATCAGTATTGTATAATAAATTAGAGAAAATCCACTATTGCAATTGAAATCCAATCACTTTTTTGGAATATTTAAAGAGTAATTTAATTATGTTATAATTATTATAAGTAGTATAATTATGTAATAATTATTATAATACGTCATATTTTATGTTATAAAACTATACAATAATTATGGTAAGGATTTTAATGATTGTTATTTATAAAATATTTAATTTCTTTTATTATATTTCAATATGACTAATAAGATTATGTTTTATATCCAACTTCTGTGGTTAAGGCAGCGAGCTTTGTTTTGCTTTGTTTCTTTTTTCATTTTTACTTTTTCTTGTTTTTGTTCTTTTGTGTCCGAATCATAGACTCAATTATCAATTTCAGATACATATGTGAAAAGATAAAATCTTGGGTTAGATTTAGAGCTTAGTAATGGATGAACTAAGATACTAACACAACAGATTACAATGTATTAGAATTAGAGCTTTGCATTTGTAATAAATAACTGAAATACCATAGCAAATTATGGGCTTGTTCAGTTGTTTTTTTTGAGTTATAGTGATTTGAGTTTAGATCTTGAGTTGAATTTGAGTTATAACTTGAGTTAAAGTTGTAACTTGAGTTTTTGTTTAGATGTACACATTTGAGTTATTGTTTCAATTGAGGATTTATTTGAGTTTGTGTCAACTCACGATCTGATCGCCAGTGTCAACCATAATCTGCATATTTTCTAAAAAAATATGTTATAATCTACTAATTTTAAAAAATATATATTATAATTTACTATTTTTTTAAAAATTAGAGGTTTAAAGGAAAAAAAGAGGTGGAAAAAGATTTAATTTAAACATCAAATTATATTGTTAAGAAAAAAGATTCTAATAAAAGGTTTTTTAATAATGTTAGAAACCTTAAACATCAAATTATATTATAAACTACATTTTTTTTAAAAAAAGAAAGCTTTAATTTACTAACACCCTACCAATTTTAAGTTTTTTTTTACCTAACGGGCCTAATAATCATAGTGTGCCTTTGAATTTGTTTGAGTAATGAAATAACTGATAAAGTTTGAACCCATCAGGTATTCTATTAAATTGTTCAAAGAATCATCTCTACTATTTATTTCCATACGCATAAGTTACAAATTTATTAGAAAAAATAGGGTAAAAATGGAATAAAATATTTTATTTTAAAGAGAAAAAGATGAATTACAATTTACTACTATGTTTTAAAAAATATGCGATATCTTTCCTTGCCATATATGAAAAATTGTTATTTGGTGCATTTTGTCAATTATTATTGGGATTTATTTGGATTTATCTTTTAATTTAGACTTATTATTTTAATTTTTTTTTGTGTTATCATTATATTTATCATTAAACTAATTCGAGTTATGTTATGATTATTAATTGTAGTTCTATTAGGATTCAAAGAAAAAAATATTATAAATTACGATTTCCTTTGTCATAGTTGTATTCAGTCTTTTATTCAACTCTCATGAATTCTTCCATCCACATGTTCCCCTTCCAATAATTCCTTAATTTTGTCAGGTTCTGCACCAAAAAAAGGTATATGAAAGGCTGACAAAATTGAGGAATTATTAGAAAGAGATGAACATGTAAATTTGTACTCAAAAGTTTTAGTCGTTTAACTCAGCAGTAAACTTTTTTTGACGTCGTTTTTAGGGTATTGATGTTGTTTTCGTAGGGTGAAACGGAATTGGAATCTCTTCAGGCTGTGTTTGGTTGGGGGGAATGAAAAGGAAAAGCCATTCTTTGCTCGACCACCGAACTCCAGCCATTGACCATCGACGCCATGGCTTCGAAGCTCCCGAACCAACTCCGAGCTCTCTACGCATCCACCACCCGTCACCGGCTTCTCTCTCCTCGATTCCCGAACCCTAACGAAGCTTTCCGAGACCTCCTTCTCGGTTCCAATGGCAGACTCTTCTCGGACGAAAGAAATTTGAATTTCTAATTTCTAATTTCCAATTTTCCAAATCGAAAGAAAGATGGCTGAAGAATCGACGCGGTCCCCCGTCAGGCTTATGAATTTCGTGTCGGAGGAGCAGGTGAATCTCATCTTTAATTTGTCCTTTAATTCTCTAATTCAATTATTCATTCGTATGTTTCTTTCTTTCTATCTTATTCTTGAAGATGAAAACCCTAGAATTACATTTTTTTTTTTGTTTGGAAACAGTTGGATGAAGCAAAGAGAAGGAAAGGCGAACGCGTCAAAGATGGCACTGCCCAAAGGGATAGACCCCTTTACGAGGTCTTCTATTGTATTCTCTCTATGATTACTATCCATTCCTATCTTCTTAATCTCATAAAAATTTAATGTAAATAAATACTGCAGATTTTAACGGAAAATAAAGACAAGAAGGACGCTAAATTCAACGAACGCTTCAAGCACAGTCAGTTCTTCCTTTTTTTTTTTTGCTTTCCTTCCCCCCC